TTTCTGCTGCAGGCGAGGCCTTTACCCAAATGTCTCTCCCACAGGAGCCCCGAGCAGAAGCAGCATCCCCTCCTCGCCCGTCTTCAGCAGCAGTGACGTGGTCACGTGTCAGCTCACCCACACCGTGTCCTGCGCCCACCAGAAGCCCATCACGGCGCTGAAGGCCGCGGCGGGACGGCTGGTCACCGGCAGCCAGGACCACACGCTCAGAGTAAGGCTCCCTCCCCTTCTTCCTGGGCTGTGGGGCTGCTTCTCCCCCCTTGAGGGACCTTGAGGGACCTTGTGGGACCTTGAGGGACATTGTGTGACGTTGTGGGACCTTGTGAGCTTGTCTCCTGCCTGGGTTGGGGGGCAAAGCAGAGGTGTCTACGTGCACAGAGGTAGGTGCGTGTCTGGGGTGGGGTGGTTGGTGGTTCTCTGCCCCGAGAGGGGAGGATGGTGGTGAGGAAGATGAAGTGAGGTCTCCTGCTTCGTTAGATAAGGCTCCGGGGGTGTCCTCCTGCAGTGTGGTCACCCCCGTGGACCCTCACGTCTGCCCCTCCTGCCCCCCAGGTGTTTCGGCTGGAGGACTCGTGCTGTTTGTTCACGCTGCAGGGTCACTCGGGAGCCATCACCGCTGTCTACATCGACCAGGTAGGGCACAGCTGGGCCTGCACCTCCAAAAATGTCCTCCTGTCCGGCTGCTGGGCCACTGATCTCCAGCTGAGCTTTCCCCACCCTCGTTCCTGTGACCTCCTGCAGCCCGGGACGTCCCCGGGGCACAGGACCTGCTTCCCAAGGAACTGGGTTGTGTCTTCAGTAGCTCCTTGTGTCCGTGGCACCATGGGGACGCAGGGTGGGATGGAAAGGACACCGTCCTCCACCCGCTGAGGTCCCTGAGGTGGCTCTGTCCCTGTCCTTGCAGACCATGGTGTTGGCCAGCGGCGGGCAGGACGGTGCCATCTGCCTTTGGGACGTGCTGACGGGGAGCAAGGTGAGCCACATGTACGCCCACCGAGGGGACGTCACCTCCCTCACCTGCACCACCTCCTGCGTCATCAGCAGCGGCTTGGACGACGTCATCAGCATCTGGGACCGCAGCTCCGGGATCAAGCTCTATTCCATCCAGCAGGTTGGCAGCCTGGGGAGGGTTAGGGCTGCTCCTGAGGACCCTTCCAGACCCTGTACCCACCTCTGCCGGGCTCGTAGTTCTGCAGGGAGCTCTGTTGAAACTCCACGGGCTTTGGAAAACTTCCCTTTTTTGTACAAAAGCTCAGAAAAATGCCAAATGTGTTGCTCGGCCGGGTGGCATCGTCCCACTGCGGGGCTCTGTTGGCCCCTTCCAGCCCGTCTGGGGCTGGGCTGGCAGAGGGGCTGTGGACACTTGGCCACTTGCCCACCAACAGCCTCCTGCCCCGGGGCTTCTTCCCAAAATCCATCCCCAAACCATCGCTCTCCAAACAGGGTTTGGGGTTTCGAAGCCGATGTGGGTTTATTCACAGCACCGGGGGCCTGGGGGGATCTCTCCTTCTACCAGAGCTCTCCGTGCCATTTTCATACACGTTTTACATCATTATTATAATAATTGGTACCCCCTATATTTGATTGGTCGGTAATTTACATATGATTACACCATCAAGGGATTACAACCTCGAGGGAAGGGTCTTCACCTGGGCAAGGGTCTTCTTGCTCCACGGGTGTGATTTTTAGTGTTATAACGAAGGAAATTCAGCTCAGGATGCTCAGAATCTTCACTTTCCTGCCGAGTTGGCTTAAACTTCTCCAGATGTGTAGGTTTTACCATCCTCAAGGTCCTTACCCTCCGTGTGCCTCCTCGAGGAGGGTACAAAACCAGCCTTCCCCCAGCAGGAGCTCTTTTCATTAGCTCAGGCTTGATAAACTCAAGGAGAGACTCCTCCTTCGTGGTGGGAATCCACATCAGGCCTTTCAGCACTTAATTACCGACAACGTTTTGAGGCTTCATTTTGAGTAACGAGCCTTGTCTTGTCCTTGGGTGCAGGAGATGGGCTGTGGCTCCAGCCTGGGTGTCATCTCCGACAACCTGCTGGTGACGGGGGGCCAGGGCTGCGTCTCCTTCTGGGACATCGGCTACGGGGACCTCCTGCAGACCGTCTACCTGGGGAAGAGCAACGAGTCGCAGCCCGCCCGCCAGATCCTGGTGCTGGAGAACGCCGCCATCGTCTGCAACTTCGGCAGCGAGCTCAGCCTGGTCTACGTGCCCTCCGTGCTGGAGAAGTTGGACTGAGGAGGAAGAGGAGGAGGAGGAGCCAGGGGCTGAGCGAGGAAGGTGGGAACGGGGCACCCCTTCCCCGTGACGAGGAGGTGGGTGAAGAGATGGGGACACCAGCTCCATCACCTGTGTCATCTCCCCTCCTCCTACACTGGACTCTTGTCACCCTGCGTGGCCCGAGCCTTCCTCTTCACCCTGAGCCTTCCTCTTCACCCCCGTTTCCAGCATCTGGGGGTGCCCTGGGGCTGAGACAGGAGATGGGGACAACACGTGGTGGCCTCCTGGGGGGTGAGGGAGCGATGGCAGCGGCCGCTGGAGGAGCTCGGTGCCTTGCCCGCTCCGGGGGGCACCCAGCCCAGCCCGGCAGCGAGCCCCGGGCCTGCGCGGAGCCGCCGGGGGCCACCAGCCCAGGAGTCAGTCCCTGGGGGAGGGACGGGGCTGAGCCCCCCCCCGGGGGGACACTGTCCTTCGGCCTCCGCGTGCCTTAGAGCGCGGGGGGCTCGGTGCCGCGGCGGTCCCTGCCCTATTTATTTATATGCTGTATATATTTATTTATTCTGGCAGGAGAGCGCGGGGGCTCCACCAACCCGCCGTGGCTGAGCCCCCCCCACACCCTTCCCTGCCTTCCTCCTCCTCCTCCTCCTCCTCCGCTCCCTTTGCAGCAATAGCACCTTCCTCCTCATCCTCCTCCTCTTCCTCTTCCCGCTGCGGGGGCCGGAGGAGGCTTTTCTCAGGTTGGGAGGGGGCGGGTGGTCCTTGCCCCCACCCTCCCTGAGGGAAAAGGGGAGAAGGTCCTTTGGGGCAAAGTTGGGGGTTGGGGGGGACACAGCCCCATTGATTGGGGGGGGCAACGGGGAGGGTTTGGGGTGTCTCCCCCCAGGGCCGCCCCCATCCCCCAGCGCTCTCCTCCCTCAAGGAACCGCCGATGACGTCTGTTAATTGAACCCTGGTGATTGTAGGGGAGTTCCCCCCCCAAAAAAGAGGGACCTGAGGCCGGGGGAGGTGGGGGGGCTCCCCGGGGAGCTGTGGGGCAGCCCCCTCCCTGCTGTCCCCCCCCCAGCCCCGGGTGGCCTTAGCCCAGCTGTACGCTCTGTGCCGTACCGGGCACGCTTTTTGTACCGGATCGTGTTTTATAACGTGTGTGAGGAAACACCC